CCCTTTTGTCGGTGAACCGGTAACCCTTTTGTCGGTGAACCGCGCTTTTTAACGATGTATTGTCTTCATGTTTGTAACTTGTTTGTCCTTCCCTCCCCTTGAATTGTGAGCCGCCCTGAGTCCCCTCAGGGAAAAGGGCGGCATACAAATAAAGTAATCTAATCTAATCTAATCTAGTTAGCAATACAACGTTACCGGAGAAGAACCTTTGCAAAATGTGGTTAGCAACTCTTAATGCCTTTTTGGCAATGACTATTACAGTGGCCTCTGAGTCTTAGATCATTTGAGATGAACACTCCAAGATTCTCGACAGAGTGAGGGTCATCTACAAAATCGTTTCTGCCCAACTTGTCTTTGGTGTTCTGATTTTTATTGCCAATGTGTAAGACGAAGCATTTATTATTTGAAATTTGGAAATCATTCTCGCATGTTCCCTCCCCCCCCTTCTCTTTCTTCGCAGCTGCCCCTCACGAACAAGATGTCGGCAGAAGAAGTGGTGAAGCTGGTGGTCCAGGAGACGAACGAGATCTCGCGCAAAGTCCTGGGAAACGCCAGCGCGGTCTGCTACAGCGAGGAACAATTTGGTCACTTTGCGTTAGTGTTCGTCACGGAGGACGTGGAACAGTGCCTCCCCGACAACTTCCTGCCCCTCTCGCTCCAAAAGGCCTGGCCCAACGGGAGATTCTGTGTCCGAATCAAAGACACATCCCCTCTCTTGTTCCGGTACGGCCCAGCCACGACGGTATGAGGGCCAGGGACACATCCAGAAGGAGAACAAAAACACAAGGACCATCCAACTTCCAACGAGCAGAACGCTCATCACCAATGCTTCCTTCTGAACAGAGCACTTTTTGTGCCAGATTGTGGTGGGGCCAGAAGCGTATTGGGCAGTGTGTTGCTTTTGTACGTTTGTGTGTGCGTGCGTGCGTGCGTATGTGTGTGTGTATGCGTGTGTGTGTGTGTGTTTTATTTTACCAAAGAGACAACAAGACCTGATTGTTATGACCTCAATAAGTGAGGGTGAGAAACCCAGGAGCCTTGGGGGGGAGGGGGGGAGGGTGAAATTTGATTATTTTTTTTGACCAGCCGAGAAAACAAAGCTGGTTAGGGATAAAGAAGCAATATGTAATTAAATATATATTTTTTTTTCAGTTGGAACAGTGTAGAAGAGAGAGAAAGGGGGCAAGGGGCATTCTTGAAAAAACAAATGCTGGAAATACACCAGACGGTTCACCAGGAAGGGGGCGGGGGAGGCCCATGGCAACCTCACAAATTTACGTCCTGTAATCTGTTTCTGTTTCATTGTACCTGGAGAAGTAGGAAATTGCCCTTAATTTTTTTTTTTTTGAACAAAGCAGTTAAAAAAGCACTAAGACTCGGTAGCGCAGTGGTTAGAGTGCAGTACTGCAGGCTACTTCGGCTGCCTTCCGGCTGTCTGCAATCTGGCAGTTCGATTCTCACTGGCTCAAGGTTGACTCGGCCTTTCATCCTTCCGAGGTCGGTAAAATGAGGGTTCAATAGACTGACTTTGTAAACCGCTTAGAGAGGGTTGTAGAGAGGGCGGTGAAGCAGTATATAACTCTGCTATTGTTATTGCCTTTCCTTCCTTCCTTCTAATGCAATATTGCAGTCTAATTCTGCCAGCAGTTCGATCCTGATCAGCTCAAGGTTGACTCAGCCTTCCATCCTTCCGAGGTCGGTAAAATGAGGACTCAAATTGTTGGGGGCAATAGGCTGTCTCTGTAAACCGCTTAGAGAGGGCTGTAAAAGCACTGTGAAGTGGTATATAAGTCTAAGTGCTATTACTATTGCCCTTCCTTCCAATGCAGTATTGCAGGCTAACTCTGCTGACAGCCAACAGTTTGATCCTGACTGGCTCAAGGTTGACTCAGCCTTCCATCCTTCTAAGGTGTGTAAAATGAGGAGCCAGACTGTTGGGGGCAAGAGGCTGACTCTTTTGCAGTGCTATAAAGCTCTGTGAAGCGGTATATAAGTCTAAGGGCTATTGCTAAAAGATAAACACAGCCGTAGATGTTCATCTTTTAACTGCTTTGTTCAAATTGTTAAAGGGGACTAACTGCTTTCAATTTCTCCCCTCTCTCTTTTTTCCCCCCCTTAATTCCATCCTGGCTATTTTGTAACCCAGAAATATTGTGGATGTTCAAAATCTGTGGGATAGCTCAAGTCCTTCTCTCTCTCCAAAGTTTAAGAGATCAGACTTATATCTTTGGGATAAAAACCTCTTCTTGGTAGGAAGACCGAATCAACCTTTCATTTCTTTATAGCACTTTGTTCTTAAGATGATCCAAATTGGGCGAACAGCAGGATTGGTTGGTTTCCTGGTGTTTGTTTAAGAGCTGTACTTTACTGCAAGGCCATTTTCCCCCATCGATCATCTCCTCCTTTCTACTTCTCCGTTTGATTTTGGAAGGCACGCAGGTAAATGATGATTGGGAGTCAACCTGTAAGGTTGCTTGGCTTAGGAATGACTTCATCCTGCCTTCTGTTACAGACTTGGTTCCAGTGTTGGGAAGCAATGACCATCCTTTTCTATCTCCAAGTGGCCAATGAAAACATCTGCCAAGCCAAGGTTTTCATCTTACCTATAAACAAAAGTAGCATTGAACAGGTCAAAGCACAAATAACCAGGAGCATTTCTTGAGTTCAAATCACAGAAGAGTTTAGAATTGCACCAGTAGTGGGCTTCAAAAAATTTTGGAACCTCGTCTGTAGGTGTGGCCTGCTTTCCGGGTCCACTGGTGGATCCTCTTCTAACCGGTTCGGTAGATTTGACGAACCGGTTCTACCGAATAGGTGCGAACTGGTAGGAACCCACCTCTGAATTGCACCTATAATGGTCAAAG